GCATGTCTTCAACCATTGCAGAAACCATGCCTGACGGAGATCAGCAACAAAAGAAAAATCAACGGGAGCCAGTTTGCGTTACAGCAACATGTAGATTTGGCGAAGATTCTAGAGTACGAATCATGCTTACTATACCGTTCTGAAAGCTGAACAAGCAGATAAAAATTGCTATACTACATACTGTTTAATGAATGATAAGCTAGAGATGGAAACGAAAATCGCAAAAACTCAGGTTTGAAACGTGTTTTCAGGTTTTCATCACACAAAACAAGCCTTAAGAATTAAGAACACCCATTCTGGCTGACCGATAAATTAAAACCAAGTTTTAGCGATAGATTACAGACTAGCCGCTTAGATCAGTAGGTTTAACAGTATAATCGAATGTTTTGCATCTTTCTCTTTTTACGCGAAGGATAGTAAAAACCGAATGTCAATGTTAATATCGTCCAATCAGAGTCAACCGCGTGCAAATCGAACAGAAAACGTTTCGTCGTCATTCTCGACCTATTTGAAAACCGGTGTTAAGGCTTCCGTCCAGTTGGCAAAAGTTTATTTTCATATACATATGCAGTTGTTTCATTATGCATACCGCAAATCCATACGAAAACAGATTCCTTGCCGCTTGGAATTGAATCATTCATCTTCACTTTGAAATACGAAAATAGGTTAAACCATTTCGGTACTAAAAATATACTGCTTGAAAGCAGTTGCCAATCTGGCACTTTTCTGTGTAGAAATAAAGTAATAACTTCAAATTATTTATCGAATAAATGACAATGAAATTGTAGCAGATAGAGCTGCACACATTCTAAATTACATTTAATTGCTGAGGATGATGTGAGCAACGGTTCCAACGTCGAACAGCAGATTTTTGGTGGTGTCCGCAGACCTTTGCATGGATTTCAAAGTCGTGAAATTTAACGAAAAGTTGAATTGTGTAACAAATCGTCTAAAATGGGGCTTAGCGAACGATGACGTAAAGCAACGATTAGCTGTGAACATAATGAGAAAATGTGGAATCTCTCGACTAAACTGAAAGCCGGTGCGAAAAATATGGAAATTGACCTGATGCATTGTTAAGTAAGGCATGTTCACTATCCCGCATTCTTTTTCAGCAACCCACAACGTCCCTGCTTTGGTGTTGTTGCCATCACACTATCAAAAACCGATTATTTAGCAGAAGTCTAATTATTATTTCTTAGCTAACTCGCACATGAAAGTTGCTCTGCTACGATTTTCAAACGACGAACGCTTAAGGAATATCAGACCTTGACTTGACAAGGAACCGAACCGATGCAAAGAAATATGCATGTGAAATAACTTAAAATGATGGAGCATTTAAGCAAGTGACGAATTCAAGCCTACATTCACAATTATATCAAGTGCAAATCCATACTTCATCTTCATCTTCTTCATCTTCCATCGT